CTTCCCTTCTCCTGAATCAAACCCTGTACCATGCCCCTCCCTTTCTTACTTCCAAAGTACCTATCCCTTAACTATGAGGCACTGCTATCCCCCATTCCTCCGCGCCCTTTCTTCACCAACAGCCCATTTTATAGGCTCAGGCGTAGGCCACACTTTACCTTCAAAGTCCAGCTAACTCCCAGCCCGGACCACAAAGGACCCTCGTTTTCCTACAGTTGACCTCTAAACTCCATCTTAACTCCTTCCCCCCCCCCCCCCCCACCCAAGTCTGCTACCCATCCGGCCCTCCTGGGCCTTCCAATTTGCCAGATCGATCCCCTCCTCTGCCTATCTAGCTATCTACCCTTTGATGTCGTAACAGCCCCCCATAACAGCCCACCATATCTTAGTCTCCCGTTCTGTTGGTCCCTCTGCCCCAATTGCCCATACCGCTTCCAGACCACCCAAAATGTATTCATGTGCTCCGTCCCTTTCCTTTTGAACTGGAGGAACTCCATCATTAAGACCAGCCGGATGTTGTCCAACGCGCAGTCCCTGAGCACTTGAAATGTCACCTGCTTCTGTCTGAGCCTCTCATTGCGCAGGGTCCAAATAGCCCAGAGGATTGCCGCTTGCAGGACCACCGCAGCATACAGCGCCCCCCTACTTGTGTGATTCGTCCTCATGACAGTGCCCAGCAGGATAAGTGAAACATCTTCTTCGAAACATTAAATGGGGTGCTTTCCGCAGCCGTTTGCCCCCACTATTCCCAGAAGGTCCGCACCGCACCAAGGGGCATTCAACAAACAGCTGTGGAATTTACTCCACTTGATTGCCACCAGCTGTGCAGGACATGTACTCTTGGGCGCTTGCCACTGCGCCGTGGGGATTGCCAGATAGTAGATCATCCACAGCAAGCCCGCCTGCTTTTGGTCTGGAAGGTCCCGTAAGGTCGCCCAATTTTTTGTGCCTGCCGCTTCCTATGGCCCCACCTCTCCATATGAGTGTAGGTGTTGCATACTAGTGAAAGTTAACACAAGTATGACGCAGAACCCAGGACCGACCAATAACAAAGAGCAATACAATGCAGCGGAAGACTGATAACATGGATCTGAACTCGCATCTGGCTCGGACCATACACAGACTCACACACATACATTCATCGGGTGAGAAGGCCTGGCGCTACAAACATCGAAGATGGTGCCAGAGCCTGTAGACAACACACACGGACGAATGTAGGGGGAAGAGACGAAGGGAGGAGGAGGAGATGGCGCCAACACGAAGTCACCGGAATAGTAATCCCAAAATGTCGGAGATACAGAATCTCGAAATGTCGAAGTTACAGAATCTCGAAATGTTGCTGGTGTCAGATCCCCAAATAGTCCTCCCAACGTCCTACTCTGGAATCTCAGTCCTGATGTCACCAATATCCCACCATCGATCTCTGTCCCATAGTAATCGAGAAGGTAGAAGGTTAGAAGAAGATGATGATGATGAAAAAGATGAAGAAGAAGGACCGAGAGGGGCAGAGGAGAAGGTGGAGATGGAGAGGAGGGAGGAGGAGAGTCCTGCTCCCTGATCCAGTGTCCAGGCACCAACCTGCGGACGCAAGGTGCCACCTTGGAGCTGCTGAAGACCTGCCTTCGACGCTGGAGCTATGGCGCTCACAGGTAAGTGCCAGGTAAGTCTCTACTCTCTCTCTCTCGCCTCTGCAGCTAGCGCTACCCCTCTCTATGGCCTGGAGCTGCGCTAATACCAAAATAGCGCACCGCTGCTCCTCAATGCCACGGTCTCAAGTCTGTCCCGAACAGACCGCTGGCTGGTAGTAAGTACCGGCGGTGGCCTGTTCGGCCTGGCTGCTGAGGAAGCCGCTCCGTGATCTGAACCGTCAAAACTGATTTGCGGTTCAGATAGGACCCGCGGGGAAGTGGCAGCCTCAAACTTTGGCCGCCAGGCTTAAACAAAACACATTTGAGCCGGTTTCCCGCTCAGGGCCTGCAGTAGCAGACCCGGGTCCGAAACCGGTTGCTGGGGCCTACCATCCGCCTTTCCGAAAGTCCGGCCTTCAACCCAGGCCGGACTGGCCCAGCATGGCCACGGTCTGGGATAACCCCCTAGACCTAGCTGTCGGGCCTAACAGGGGCCGTGTGGAATCCAGTATGTAACAGTAGGGATCCAATCTCGCTTAGCCCATCTTTTCTTGAGTTCCTCCAGGGTGTCGACAGGCAGGATCAGCGACTTGTGTATGAGTTTAGTGGTCATTTGCGCCTGCCGTCTCCAGGATGTCGACAGGCAGGATTGCCATTTCCGCCTGCCGTTCCCTATGGCCTCACCTCTCCATATGAGGGGTAGGGATCCAATCTCGCTTAACCCTTCTTTCCTTGAGTTTCCTCCAGGATGTCGACAGGCGGGAGCTGCTTTCGGTCTGGAAGGTACCGAGGTCGCCATTTTTTTTGCGCCTGCCGTCTCCTATGGCCCCACCTCTCCATATGAGCGGTAGGGATCCAATCCTGCTCAGGCGACCTTCCCTCGAGTTCCTCAGGATGTCGACAGGCGGGAGCAGCGACTTGTATACGAGTTTAGTGGTCACTTGGTGCAGGGGTACTTTTCAGTGTTTTCACGTATTGTGCCACTGCATTGGCCAAGTCCAATCCTGCGGATCAACCAAGCTCGGCTTGCATACTGCACACTAAAGGGCCGAAACTCCAACTTTGTAATATCTTTTTTTTTTTTTTTTTTTTTTTTTTTNGAGAGAGAGAGAGAGAGAGAGAGAGAGAGAGAGAGAGAGAGAGAGAGAGAGTGGTGCATACTAGTGAAAGTGAACACAAGTATGACGCAGAACCCAGAACCGACCAATAACAAAGAGCAATACAATGCAGTGGAAAACCGATAATCATGGATCTGACTTGCACCGGACTCGGACTATCCACAGACTCACGCCATACATTCATCGGGTGAGGAGGCCTGGCGCTCAAGCATGGAAGACAGTGCCAGGGCCTGCACAATCATGCACAGACGACATGTAGGGGGAAGAGACGAAGAGGGGAAGAGAGATGGCGCCAACACCAGTACAGCCAAAATAGAATCCCGAAATACCGAAGATACAAAGTCTCGAAATGTCGAGGATACCAAATCTCATAGTGCCACTGATGTTAGATTTCCAACATAGTCCCCTCACTGTCTCAATCCGAAATAATCTCAGTCCCTATGTCACCGATTGTCCACCTCTGATCTCTGTCCAGATAGTAGTCCAGAATGTAGAAGGTTAGAAGAAGAACAAAAAGAAGAGGAAGAAGAAGAAGAAGAAGAAGAAGAAGAAGAAGAAGAAGAAGAAGAAGAAGAAGAAGAAGAAGAAGAAGAAGAACTGAGAGGGGCAGAGGAGAAGGTGGAGATGGAGAGGAGGGAGGAGGAGAGTCCTCGCTCCCTGATCCAGTGTCCAGGCACCAACCTGCGGACGCAAGGTGCCACCTTGGAGCTGCTGAAGACCTGCCTTCGACGCTGGAGCTATGGCGCTCACAGGTAAGTGCCAGGTAAGTCTCTACTCTCTCTCTCTCGCCTCTGCAGCTAGCGCTACCCCTCTCTATGGCCTGGAGCTGCGCTAATACCAAAATAGCGCACCGCTGCTCCTCAATGCCACGGTCTCAAGTCTGTCCCGAACAGACCGCTGGCTGGTAGTAAGTACCGGCGGTGGCCTGTTCGGCCTGGCTGCTGAGGAAGCCGCTCCGTGATCTGAACCGTCAAAACTGATTTGCGGTTCAGATAGGACCCGCGGGGAAGTGGCAGCCTCAAACTTTGGCCGCCAGGCTTAAACAAAACACATTTGAGCCGGTTTCCCGCTCAGGGCCTGCAGTAGCAGACCCGGGTCCGAAACCGGTTGCTGGGGCCTACCATCCGCCTTTCCGAAAGTCCGGCCTTCAACCCAGGCCGGACTGGCCCAGCATGGCCACGGTCTGGGATAACCCCCTAGACCTAGCTGTCGGGCCTAACAGGGGCCGTGTGGAATCCAGTATGTAACAGTAGGGATCCAATCTCGCTTAGCCCATCTTTTCTTGAGTTCCTCCAGGGTGTCGACAGGCAGGATCAGCGACTTGTGTATGAGTTTAGTGGTCATTTGCGCCTGCCGTCTCCAGGATGTCGACAGGCAGGATTGCCATTTCCGCCTGCCGTTCCCTATGGCCTCACCTCTCCATATGAGGGGTAGGGATCCAATCTCGCTTAACCCTTCTTTCCTTGAGTTTCCTCCAGGATGTCGACAGGCGGGAGCTGCTTTCGGTCTGGAAGGTACCGAGGTCGCCATTTTTTTTGCGCCTGCCGTCTCCTATGGCCCCACCTCTCCATATGAGCGGTAGGGATCCAATCCTGCTCAGGCGACCTTCCCTCGAGTTCCTCAGGATGTCGACAGGCGGGAGCAGCGACTTGTATACGAGTTTAGTGGTCACTTGGTGCAGGGGTACTTTTCAGTGTTTTCACGTATTGTGCCACTGCATTGGCCAAGTCCAATCCTGCGGATCAACCAAGCTCGGCTTGCATACTGCACACTAAAGGGCCGAAACTCCAACTTTGTAATATCTTTTTTTTTTTTTTTTTTTTTTTTTTTTTAATGCTTCCTGTTTCTTGCATTTCTTGTGAACTGTGTCACGGCTTGACTTCACACCTGTTGCATTGAAATTTGAATAAAGTTGGGCAGCGAAGGTGGATGTGTTTATTGCTGGTTCTGACCGCTTTTCTTTTTCGTTTTGGTTTCTTAGGGTGTGCTCACACTAGCCGTATCTCAAATGTATCTGACTGCATTCACGGCCATACCTGCATGTATCTGCCCGAAATTCCGTCCAAAAATACGTATACATAAACAAGTCGTAGTGTGAGTATGCCCTTAGATGGGTTTGACCTTTTATTTTTTTTTGTGAAGACCTGACAAATTTACTGATCAGTGTGCCTGTGAGTGTCTACCATTCCTCAGCATTTCCATCATCTGATTCAACTCAATGCGTTCCTGTGACTCGGTCCGGGTCTCTGTGCAGGTTAATGAAGCTTTCTTGGCACAGTGTGTTGCAAAGACTCCGGAGGGAGAGTTGGTGGGGAGATTGAAAGGCACACTAAACGACTTGTTTGGTGCTTGTGTCAGGTAGGAAGGGGGTCTGACTTAAAAACAGCCCGTCTCCCACTCGCGCTCCACACATTCACACATGTGGACCTGATTCATGCACTACTGCATGTGTGAGGCCAAGGCTGTGCCATATCTCTGCTGACTGTGCTCTGTATCTCTGTTATCTGTGATGCCTGTGCTATGTGTGTGTGCTATGTCTGTGTTCTATGTCTGTGTGCTCTGCCTGTGCTATGTCTGTGTGCTGTGCCTGTGCTATGTCTGTGCTATGTCTGTGGTATGTCTGTACTATGTCTGTGCTATGTCTGTGTGGTATGCTTGTGTTCTATGTCTGTGTGCCATGTCTGTGTGCTATGCCCGTGCTATGTCGGTGCTATGTCGGTGTTCTACGTCTGTGTGCTATGTCGGTCTGTACTGTGTCGGTCTATGCTATGTCTGTGCCATGTCTGGTGCAATGTCTGTGTGCTGTGTCTTTGCTATGTCCGCGCTGTGTCTATCCCTACACTGTTAAAATCGCTAACGTGACAAATCTGAAATCCGGGCCGTTGTTGGTCCTACCGGCCCGCGGCCCAGATCAACCGAACCATGTAACAAATCTGAAATCCCGGCCGTCGGGTCCTACCGGATCGACGCGCCGTATCAGCGCGATCTTAAGATCTTAAGAGCGTGCATCAATCCAGGCCGTTGGCCCTGTACCTTGGACGCGACGGCAGGGATTACTTGCCTGTTGGAGAGGGCCTCGGTACCTACCAGTGATTTCTTGGCGCGGTACCTACCGGTGGGGTTGTGTTTGGGCAAACGGGTTCCCATAGGCCGTCCGTGATGTAACTATTTTTTCGTGGCGGCGTGCACTGTTTTTGGATGGGGGCGTGGCTTTTTGGTGGCGGCATGGGCAAATTCTACGGCGTGGGAAAGACCCACCCCTATGCTACTGCACTCTGTACTAGACTTCTACTTTCCTATCCTATGCTACTACACTCGACTTCAACTTTACTACTCTACACTACACTACCACGCTCGACTTTGACTTGGCATGTGGATACACACACCCACCCACACGACATCCGGGCAGACTGTCGGGGTTCAACCTCTTGATGAGTCGGTGGAAGTCCGACGAAACAGCCTCGCTTGGTGATGCCCACGCACGCACGCAGTCAGCGCGCGCGACACACACACACACACACACAGACACAGAGAGAGAGAGAGAGAGAGAGAGAGAGAGAGAGAGAGAGAGAGAGAGAGAGAGAGAGAGAGAGAGAGAGCCCAACGTAACTAACAATGGGCCTCCTCCCCCCTTCCCCCCACAAAAGTGTAGTATCTGCTTCGATCAGTTTCATATCTGATCCGTGGTCCAT